AATAGACAAATATTTCACATAAAACTACGACCGGAGGGGTTTAGTCTGAAGGGAAATCATGTATGAACGTCTGACCCTGTTTACAAATGATGATGCCAAGAAAACGTCTGTCAGCAAACAACAAGCAACAACTTGGACATTGTGGTACCTGAGCCACTACATGAATGGTCATACAGCTACTTTAATATCAATACTAAGTGGAGCCGGTGTTATTGTTAGAGAGGCTCTCTCTCTTTCCATGATATAGTATATCCTGTATCTGAGTTTACATTAAGAGAGCCTATGGAAGTCCGAGAAGTGTTCTTTACTGCCTGCACTAAGAGGGGCCTTTCTGCTGGTCTTGGGGGACCCCTGATTCCAGGAAACATCTGGAATAGTTAGGGTTCACTCCTTATCAATCAATCAATCAATCAAACTTTTCAGACAAAAAATGCAACACAAAGCATGTTACAGTGATTATTACGGTTATTAGCTGAAGTTAAAAAAGGATGTCCTATAGAAATGTATAAAAAAAATAAAAGGTGACCACTCTTGGTTCTGGGTGTGATTTCTACGATTGGCTCCCAAATACCCGGACGTTTGTCTGTAATTAAACTCTATTTTTGTAATAAATAGAATTAAATTTATCAGAGTTATCGTCTTTTGGTTATTTCTGAACACTCTACACCACCGCACACCTGTTTGCGAGAACAAGCAGCCACTGAAGGTGAGCAGATACATTGTGATTTACAAACTACAACAGCACAGAGAAAAAAATTAAATATAACATAATAACAGTACTCATGAGTTCAGTGCAGCAGTTCTTTTGTGTGAACTCTATTCCACTATATACACACTAACTTGCTTCTGTAGCCTACAGAATCTACATTATTATTTTATTATCTCTTTATATATGTAGTAAAATATGTCTTTAAATCATTCTAGGGCTCTGTGTTTGTCTATAAAATTAAATTGTATTTTTTTTTAATGCCTTTATTGATGTCGATCCTTTTAACCTGTCATCCAGACCATTTCATAGATCTACTCCTCAACTAGACAAAGCAATAACATTACTGAGAAATTTGACAAACATTTGACAGTCCCTCCACCAGAAAAGTTACATTATTCACCTTTAAATATACTGGTAGTTTTCAGAACATGGTGATGTCACACTCCCAGATAGGAGCCAGTTTTCCCTATGGCAGACATGTTCAAACTATTGTCCGTGAGCCAAATGCAACCCTCAGACCAATTGTTTTTGGCCCTTAGACTTGCAGGTGAATTGGCCCATATCACTTTAAGCAGTATATTTTACTGAACGTTTTCAAAAATGGATCCTGATAAAGCCAAGTCGATAAAACCCATTGAGGATCTCATCATGAATAATTTGTTGGCTCATTTTATCATTATTGAATAATTCACTGTACTGACACCAGTTTATGACCCTCGATCAGCTCTCCACTTTTGTCTGTGTTTTTATATTTGGCCCTCGATGAACAAAGTTTGGGCACCCATACTCTAAGGATTACATTGTACGTCGCCATGAAATATCCATAAGGTAAATTCACAAACTTTAAATGTAATTATTTGTTTTAGTGACTAGATCCAAGAACAAGACTGTGTTACAACTACAATCTGAATTTGAACAATATTCATTTTAGCATTTCAATATTTCATTTCATCTGCATTAAATATTATTAGCTGATAAAATTTGAGAAAAAAAATATAAGCTAATAAAATTATACAAGAACCCCATGCATTTCTGAAGAAGGAAAGAGACAGGCTTTAGGCAGAAAGACACTTAGTTGTCTTGTCCTAATAGTCCATTCCCTATAAAAACAGACCCATAATTTCCCCTGACCTCCATCTGAAATTCTGACATACTCTGAATTAGAACATGAACCCACCCTGTTACTTTGAACTGAGTCACGCTCTGAGTTTACATTGAAAAGTCCCCACTCATATCTGACCTTCATTCCTGGGGTATATTTAGGACGTGGGGCTGTGCAGGGCTGGTCCTGTCTGTATTTGCGGACAACACCTGCTCTGGTCTCACGTGAAGTAGACTCAGGCCCAGAGGAAATGGACTGTTTCACCCACTGTGCTGACGCTGCAGCTGTTTTACAAGCCCCAAGTCGCCACCTGCACTTAGCACAACAAAAGAGAGGCTCCTACAGCACAGAGAATAAATAAAATTAGGCCGTTCTAATATAATATTCCAAGTTTTATTAAATCACATTAGTTTTCTCCTACAAGACTGTAATAAAAAGTCTTGTAGCACATTTTAGGATACCGTGCATTCACGTACTAGTAATTGATGGCCAAAAAATGGTCAAAAAATAGTAATTTGTGCAGGTATAGAGATCCAAACTTCAGAATATTCTCTATAATGTACTATTTTATTTGATTTACGGCAATATAAAAGAAAGTCCTATTGTTTTTTATTATGATTCTGGTACTGAAAATGCCTTCTCCTAGCACTGAAACTGAATTTGAAATATTATATAGATAACGTCACACTTTGTCCTGGTTTGGTCCTGATTTGAGCCCAGTTTATTCCTGATGTAGACTTGGTTTGGTCCTGTTTAGTCCTGGTCAATCTCTGGTTTAGTCCAAGCTTGCACCCAATTTTGATGAGTCACTTCAGATTGCATTATTCATTCACTGCTCATACTTGGGAGTTGTGGAGTGTGGAACCAAATGGGTAAAAAACGATCTTATCCCCACAGTTAATGGCCTCTGTATCAACTCCTAAAGGACTCACTGCTGCAACTTGCCTTTTATCTGAACTCAACTTTATCTGAATTCACTTAACTGTACCTTGCATTAATATTTATTCTTGTTTCTTGCTTGTGTGATGTTCTTATGTGAGTGTTTTTAAGCTGCAAGAGTCGCCCCATTATTGCCATTCGGGAATCAAAGAGACAAAAGACCTTTAAAAACAAAACTAAAACAAAAAAAATCACGTGAAGGAAACCCATAAAGCCAAGACGAGTGAGGTGTCTGGCCCATGAACAAAAACATCTGTGGCAGAGGTGGGACCAAGTCGTTGTTTTGCAAGTCTCAAGTAAGTCTCAAGTCTTTGACCACAAGTCCGAGTCAAGCCCCAAGTCAAAGACAGGCAAGTCCAAGTCAAGTCTCAAGTCACTGGCCCATAAGTCCAAGTCAAGTCCAAGTCGTCTGCTTTGAGCTTCAAATCATTTCAAATCTTTAAACCAAAGCACCAAATATAGCTTAGATTTTTGCAATTTATATGAATTTTACACTAAATTGTACTGAAATAGTCATGATATATTTATATATGAATATTTATAAAAGAGTTGTAGAAATGCTATTTATTTTCCTTTTTAAATGTCTTGACAAAATCTTAATGTGAATCATTATAGTCACAATAGAAATAATTCAGATTTAAAAGTGCTTAATAACAGTTATTTTGTCATGTAGTTCTCTGTAGTTCCCTCTGTTTTACTGCATAGTACTGTATATTATTGTAGTACATTTGAAGACAACATATCACAGTACTGCATTTATAAACTGTAAAGAGAAAAGTATTTTTTAAAAACATATATTTTTTAGGAGAAGCATCAAGTCTTCTCAAGCCACTGACCTTCAAGTCCAAGTCGAGTTCCAAGTCTTAGTCCATTTTATCAAGTCAAGACTCAAGTCCTAAAAATATTGACTCAAGTCTGACTCGAGTCCAAGTCCCCACCTCTGGCCAATGGACTATTGAAGCCCGAACCTCTGAGAACAACATCACAAATCCACAATAACCACTAGTTTAGACGTAGGCCTGGACCAAATTAGTGACAAGTTAAAGACTTATTTATTTGACCCGTTTTCCCATAGGCTCTCGTGTCAACGGACAAAGAGTTGACTAAGTAAAGCTGTACTGTGCAACTTTTCAGATAAAGGGTGTCTATATTGCATTTATTCAATTACAGGGTTTTATTGCTAACAGAGCTACCTTAAAACACATGCATTATAGTAGCAGGGCTGTGCAAAAATATCAAAGTATCAATATATCGTATCGTTTTATGTGATGATACAGTATCGATATCAGGGACAGCTGTATCGATATATCACCAAGAGTATTTTTTGGTGTATTTTACTAAAATATTTTGTTACAGCGCTACAGTTTTGGTGCTTGTTCAGAGGAAGGAAAATTTTACATTTTCACTGTTTTGATGAATAAAATGGGCATGTTTCATTTTCATTTTGCACAAGAAGTGGTTCAACAAACACTTTTTGTATGACATCCATAAATTAACCTTTATTTTTTATTGAACCGTATCGAATTAATTTGAAATATATCATATCGAATCGAAACTGCACTGTATCGAGACATGTATCGCATCGTGACCTATGTATCGAGGTCTGTATTGTATCGACAACTTCTTAATGATACCAAACCCTGATTATGAGCAGAGTCGGCTCTCCACAGATCTGATTACTAATTGATCTTGGTGGCGTCACACGTTTGTCTCCATCCACATAGATCAGTTTAAAGCCATAATGTGGAAAGCAAAATTATTTTTCCATGGGGACAAACAAACGGCGGACACTACCATTAAAGTCACTAAGTGTTCCTTTAAGTAGGGTGACCAGACGTTCCGATTTACCCGGGACAGTCCCAGTTTTGAACCCTGTGTCCCCTGTCCCAGCAGACTTACAGAAAACTACTGATTTGTCCCAGTTTTTTATAAGAAATGTCCCTATTTTTGACCAATTTGTTACCTACCAACAGTAAAGAGGCATAAATTGTAAAATCTGTTCAGGTAAAATACAGAAAAGCTGCTTAAAAATGACCAAACTCAAAGAAAATGTGACTATGCTGATTGACACTCAGTCACTTTTAGTCATGAATGGGCCAAGTGCAGAAAAGTTGTCCTTAATTACGCACTCGTTTCACAGATTTATTATTCCCAACCTCTCCAAAAAGGGGGTGTCCAGGTTTTTTATTTTGAAAATCTGGTCACCCAATAACCTTTAAGTGCTTTTAGAGATGTGTGCTTTGCTTTTACCTGCGCTTGTACTCGTCCCTCTCCCTCTTGACTTTGGCCAGCACGTTGTACAGCGCCCTGATCTCCGGCGTGATGGTGTCGATCTGCACCCCGACTCCATCCGGGTGCACCCAGGACACACCGGGGCTGGTCAGTCTCTCCGCCCCGGGCCCAAACCTTCGCGCGTGGTTGTAGGACCAGATGGTGCCGGGGAGGAAGCGCGGAGGGGGGTTGGTGGACGTCCCGGTGGTGGTGGTGCTGCTGGGGACAGTAGAACCGGGGGAGTCCACACAGGGAGACGCGTGGCTGATGGTGATGGACGGGTTACCGCTGTGGGAGTCTCCGGGAGGGCTGAAGAGAGAGGTGGGACGCCGGGCTGAGTTGTTGGTGTTGTGGAAAGGCAGGGATCCCGGCCTGAGCGGAATTGCACCAACAAACCCGGTCTGCACACTGACCTCCTGCGTGGGGCCCCTGGTTTGATCACAGTTTTGGCACGTTTTGTTTGCATCCAACGCCTGCTGCAGCTGCTTTTCTAAAATCTTATTCCTTCGCTCTAGCTCATGCACTTTGGCCAAAAAGCAACGAAATCTCAGGTTGAGAGTTTTGAGCACGCTGATGTTGGAGCCGAGGTCGTTCCGGAGAGCCATGGCGGCGGGAGGAGGAGGAGGGGGAGCGGCCCGGTGCTGGTAGTGTCCGGAGGAGAGGTGATGGAGGAAGGGAGAGGTCTGCGAGGTGGGCCCGGAGCCGGACTGCTCACCCAGAAGGTCCGCCCCAGGGAGGAGGGCGTCGGGCAGCAGTCCTGATGGAGAGTCGGGGTGTCCGGGGCTGTGGAGCTGATGATGCGGATGTTGTTGGAGATTGGCCCCCAACAAAGGATTCATGCTATGGTATGAAAACCTAAAGCGCTGCAGATCTGGCATGAACACGGACTGGTCTTCAACACAATAAAATTACTTAAAAATACCTCCTGAACCTCACCTGTCGCGCAAGTCACCTGCTTATGTAACGCGTTAAAATAAGACTCTTATCTGTCAAAGCTGGGAGGTCTTAACGTCGCTTGGATGAGATCAGCGCTCCCACGAAGACCGCAGCAGCGAAAATGGACGAATCCAAACGGCAGAAATGCGCAACCACAGCCTTCTCCAGACAAAACAAGAGCGTCAAACCAACAAATAAACACCAAAAAAATAATATGCAAAAGCTACGAGAGTCTACGTTAGCATAATAGCATGAGAGAAGCGCTGTTCACTGAAGTTCTGGCATCAAGATGTGACCGCAGGAGCAAGTGCAGCGCGATTGGAAGAACTGCGCTACCGTAAGTACTGAAGGAAATGCGCACGCCGAGTTTGCCATAACTGCAAGTGCATTTAATAAAAAGCTGTTTAGAGATAATTTACATCTTATTGCCAAAGGTGGATGAAAAGTGGGAAATGACAACAAAAAATAAATAAAAGAACAAAATAATAGTCGGTTAAATCAAGAAGAAACTCTGTAGCTGCCCATTTTCAAGGAGGAAGGAAGGAAGGAAGGACAAAACCCCACTATATAGATTTTGATAGATTTTGCCAAATAGGGTGTCAAATTTCATCTAAACCAGGTCTAAACCAGATCTGTACCAGGACTATACCAGGATTAAACCAGGTCTAAACCAGGGCTAAACTAGGGCTAAACCAGGACTTAACCAGAATTAAACCAGGTCTAAACCAGGGCTAAACTAGGCACTAAACCAGGACTAAACCAGGACTTAACCAGGTCTGAAGCTGAACCAGGACTGAACCAGGACTAAACCAGGGCTAAACCAGGACTGACCCAGGATAAAAATAGGACTAAACCAGGTCTAAACTAGGACTGAACCAGGCCTAAACCAGGACTAAACCAGGATAAAAATTGGAGTGAACCAGGATGAAAATAGGATTAAACTAGGTCTAAACCAGGTCTAAACCAGGACTGAACCAGGACTAAACCAGAATGAAAATATGACTAAACCAGGACTAAACCAGGATGAAAATAGGATTAAACCAGGAATAAACCAGGACTAAGATGTCAAAATCGAACGTTTTGGAAAAAACTTCTGGCCCTAAAGGGTTAAAACATCTAATGACCTTTACTAGACAGCGAAGTGAGGCAGTTACAGACAGAAAGTATTGGCCAAAATGAGTCATAAAGTAATCTAATGAAAAGTGGTGAGAGATGTGTGGGTGGAAGGTGGAGGTGCATCCTGGAACAGGTGGGGTCGTCTGGGTGAAGGTCTACAGACAGAATCTCAATGGAGTTTCCTTCACCTGCTTGTCTCCATTAGATTATTACCTGGAATGTTCCAAAATACAGCAATAAACCTGGTTATTTCCATAGAAACTGCTGATGCATCCGTGCCAAGTGTCAGATCTGTGTAAATTTAACTATTAGCTGTTTAATTTAGGCAAACTATCGATAAGTTTAATGTCATACAGTGAGCCATAGTTGTCAGAGAAAAGCAATAGCAAAAACCCCCCCCAGAAAAATTATTTGTCACTACAGTGATGTCAACATTACATTTTTTAAATGTTTCCACTCGCCCTTGTTTACTGCACATCTTTGGCGCAACTACAAGAAAAAGAGTTTGACAGTGGCCTATAACGACTCTTTGAGAATATTACTGAAAGTGCCGAGGTTTTGTAGCAACAGTGAGATGTTTGTAAACTGTGTTATCACAATCAGATGTTGTATTTATTCATTTATGTGTAGAGCCATGGATCTGAGCAATCAAATCATTCAAGCTCTTGTGTGTCCTGTGAGGAGCAGTCAGATTCACCTCTAAGCTTCTGGAGACACTGGTGCTCTTGTCTGTAAACATTATAACATGCACTGTATATTTATCTTCTTATTTTTTTATACTATGAACCAGACATTATGTGTTCTTAATAAAGATTGAATTTAATTAGTTAGAGCATCTTTAAAAACATTCTCGTCTTCAGTTTGCCTACACCAGGGGTCTCCAACCTTTTTCCTCCCGTGAGCTCCTTTACAAAACAAAAATGCCAGAGAACTACTCATTTTAGCAGCCGCAAGAAATTGGGACAATTATAAGAAAGAGGGCGAGCCTTTGGGTACAGTTAGATGCCTATAAAACATAAATTAGTGCACCAAAGTTGGGCTTCAGTATTACATATCTAAAATGATAATGGGTTTGTAATTAACCACATTTTTGTTATTCAGCACAATGGTAAATGGTTGTTCAATGGTCAAATATGTCACCATGTTTAACCAAATAAAATGACTGAAGATGGAAATTAGCCACGCTGCCTATAATCTTTACATATTTACATTTTTAATTTTCATTAATATGTGCTGTCCCTTTACAAATAAATAAATAAACACAATAAACACAATTCGGAAATCCCTTGGTGAGCTACTTGTAAGCTGGTGGAGACCTACTGGTAGTTCCTGAGCTAGAGGTTGGAGACCCTGGCCTACACATTACAATAATTGAACAAAAAAGTCACGAGTATTTTTATATATTTATTATAAACTAACCTGATTTGTTCATCTCTAGAATAAAGACATCCCAGTCCTGCACATATCCATTGGGTTCAGAATTATGAAAAATTATGGCTGTTGCAATTAATAATTTAAAATTTTTTATCACAAAATGTCGCCCATAACAAGTTGAAACCCATGATTAGAGCGTACATGCCTCTATAAACCATAAGTCATATTCATTCACATTTGTTTTAGATATTTTTTGTCATAGTCGTTTGTGCTCTCTCAATGTGCTCTTTTGAATAGACATACTTATACTGGAGTGAACTGGATGTGTTTTTCGTCTCTGGCGCCTCCTATCAGCTTTTTCCTCGTCCAAACACCATCTGATACAGACTGTCCCTGAACTCTCTGTGCATGATCTGATAAATGATCGGGTTCATCATACAGTGGGATTTGGCAAACAGCGCGGGGATAACAGTGACCACAGGAGCCAGACTGGACTCAGGGCTGCTCGTAGTTAGTCCCTGGTGAGTGGAGAGAGACGTGTTGCTCCATTTTCCAGGGTTAAAGTGTTTGTAGGACTCTGTGGAGGTCCAGTTGAGGACGGAGTTGATGATGGGGGCAGGTGTGGGTGCAGAGAGGGGGTCTTCTCCGGAGAGCAGGGCCGAAATGAGGGACACAGAGGCGTAGGGCAGCCAGGCCACGAGGAAAGCAATGCACACAACCACAGCCATCTGCAGGAGAAATAACACGCTGTCTGTAACATGGCTCAAAAACTATATAAAACAATGCTCTAGTCAAAACGAATCCCATTGATATGTCAGTGGATCAGTGTTTCTCAAACTCCACAAGCTCCCTCTGGTGGTAAGCAAGGTCCTCTACAGTTCTAATATTTGCTGCTGCTACTTTTCTGCTACTTTTTGGTCCTTCTTTGGGTAGTTTGTTGGATATAGGTGCTGTTGCGAGGCCCCCTTTTGTTCAGTCTCTACATGCTGCTGTTAGGCCAATTAATACACAGCAATAATGTGTCCTACCACAACTCTGCAGACGACACTCAGATCTATGTCTCACTGGCAGCAGGAGACTGTGGACCAGTGGATTCACTCTGCAACTGCATCCAACAGATCAGTGTGAGGAGGCAAAACAACTTTCTCCAGCTAAACTCAGACAAGACACAAGTCATAGTGTTTGGTCCACAAAAACAAAGAGACAGTGTCAGCAGTCACCTCAGAGATCTCAGGGTAATAATAAACTCAAACTTGAGCTTTAAGAGCCACATCAAATCAATAACACCTGCAGTCTTTTACCAGCCTTTTCTAAAAAACATAACAAATATAACAGGTAACTGTCTAAAGCAGACTTGAGAGAGTTATCCATGTGTTTGTCTCCAGTAGGTTAGATACCGTAAAGGTCTGCTCACTGGCCTCTCCAAACGAGCTGTGAGACGTTACAGAACATCCAGAACACTGCAGCTCAGGTCCTGACTCGAAGTAGGAAGCACGAGCACATAAATCCTGTGCTTAGGTCTCTGCACTGGCTCCTCTGGCTCAAGAGAATAGACTTTAGAGCGGCTCTGCTTGTGTACAAGTCCCTCCATGTCCTCCCACCAAAGTACATCGGTGACATGTTAGTGCCACATGAACCATCTCACACTCTGAGGAGCTCAGGGATCGGTCTTCTGCTGGAGACCAAAGTCAAATAAATCTGCCTTGCCTAAGATAATTTCAGTCCTAACCTTTTGTTGTTTCTGGGTGCAGTGGGTCCAGGCCTGGCTTCAGAGTCCAGGTTGTGATATAGTTAAACGTTTGGGGGAAATTCTGATTCTTGCGGGTGATGATCCTCCAGGAGCAGCTGCAGTGTATGGCAAAAGTGGGTGGATGGATTGCTCAGTGAAATGTAACAGTGGAGGCAGGAGTGCAGGCCTGATAGTGCAGTAACAACCACGTGACCTCCTGACACCATACACTCACACACTGGCACCTGTGCGCTCAGATAGGCTTAACTCCACCTGGCCCCATTTGGCCAAACTAAATGTAGGTCACCCAAAGAAACAAGAATGACTCCTGCAGGTACCGAAGCAATGATGTAGTACCCAATTTTATACCCGATTTAGAACCACTTTAGGTTTAAAACAAGAGTATTCTACCTGGAATAGTCTTGTCAATGTTTTCTTAGGTGCTTCCTGGTGTGAAAAGGTTGGAGAGCTGATAGTACAAAGAAACTGGAATCAATCTGTGCATCGATATAATGCTCCATACCTCCTCCATACCACCAACATGTTTTTGATAAATAGAGACTGAAAATTGTAAATAAGTATTGTTACATGACCTGTCTAACTCACATGGCAGATGTTCGACGAAAAAAGCCTTTGTCAGATATTTTTCTTGCTTTGGACCACAGTACTGTACTGTTTTTTTAATTTAACCAATCGCTGCTATTTGGTCGTGACGTATGTAATGTGCCACTAACGGGGCTAACTGGTATATTAAGCTTTTCCCAAATCTCGTAGGAAGAAGGGCAATAATGTCTTTTCCCTTAATAAAATTCACCAAACATTCTCTTTGTTCCAGCTTTAAATCCTTGATCTCAGGAATCATTGCCAACACAGATGTATGACTCTTTGCTGATTGGCTGGTGCCTGAACTCACACTTCCAGGGTTCTTGCAAACCGTCTAGTGTATATCAATTCCTGAACTCGTCGCTGGAGAAAAATGAAATTGAGCGGAAGCACTAGGTGGCGCCAGCCTGGCTACTTTGCATTTGCACCTCTACAAGAATTTTGGTGTGCGTTTTCTGTCTTTTGATGACCTCTCTAACTAACAGTGTTAAGATATCGACTGTATTTTATAAACTCTGGGGAAAAAATAGAAATACCTTTGCGAGTTTGAGATCTTTGGTGCTGGTATTGGAGACAAAGGAGCAGGGAATAGACGCCAGGGCACGATTAGAGATGTAAACCTGGAAGAAAGGAGGGAGACGTGTTTGTTCTGTGTAGTAAAAGCAGTAAAAGCAGTAGGTGAGCTTCATAAGGCTATTTCAAAACAATAATTTACACTTGTATAGCACTTCATTTCTTTTTTACCTCCGCCAAGGAGGTTATGTTTTTGCCGGCGTTTGTCTGTTTGTTTGTTTGTTTGTTTGTTTGTCTGTTAGCAACATAACTCAAAAAGTTATGGACCGATTTTGATGAAATTTTCAGGATTTGTTGGAAATGTGAAAAGGAAGAACTGATTTCCTTTTGGGGGTGATCCGGAAGAAATCCTGGATTCTGGATCACTTTGAAATTTTAGTTAACATTGTGGTAAATGGGGCCAAAAATTTTGTTTCTCAATATCTCGGTTAATTATTGACCAAACCCCATGAAATTTGACTCAGGGATGGACAATGGGATCCTCTTTCATATTCCAAAGGCTGATCCAGATCTGATCCACAAGACTGATTTTATCGCAATTTATATAAAAAATGGGGGTAGTCCTTGGCGGAGGTCTGCGCTCTCTGAGTGCTTTTCTAGTTAAATTTGTGTCCAGCACCTGCTTGTCTCTACGGACACCAAAAACTAGTATATTTCAAGTTGTAAGTCACATCTGTGGAGAGGCGATCTTGCTCACAGTATGAATACATGTTTTTTGACCATAAAACCTCCATAAATTTTATATACATGGTAACTACGATGAGATGGCTCCTTCAGCAGAGTACTTTTAAACACTGGCAGTGCAATGAAAGCCGTAAGCAGATGTTGTGGCCCAAACCTTGATCAGAATGGCCAGATATGAAGTGATGATGGTGACTGTGGGTAATCCAAAACCAAAGCACAGGAAGAGGTACACATAGAGACGGTCAATGTGCGTTGTCTGGATACTCCACCTGGAAAACACAGTCTTTGTATCACTGACACAAAACAACAAACATAGGATTCATAGATTTAAATGCAATGTAGAGGTTTGGAGTAACCTTGAACAATGAACAATTTTTTTTAGAGCCATGTTAGAGTAGGACTGGGTGATATAACAGTTAGGGTTGTCCAAAAATATACCCAGATACTACAATACTAAAAGTGGAAAGATTAAGCAAAGAATATGACTCATAATTCTAAGATCAGAAACAAAGCCCTCTGGAACTCATTGCATCTCTTCTGTATTTTCTGTTATTTCTTTTTATCTTCACTGACTCTTTTAATATTTGTTCTGGATGATACAGTTGTAAATTTTTTATGTTTTTTTTACATTTACATTTTCCAATTACATTGGATTGAAAATGTGGTTGATGTAAAAGTATGTCTTGCTGGTCAGATGTTCTTGTACATTGTTATACTTTTGTTTTTTGGTTGTTGTTTTTTTGAGAATAAACAAGATTGTGTTGTGTCTATAATCAAAAGCAAAACTCTAGATTAATATTTTGAATCATATGTATATTTTTCCCCAGGCAAAGCAATAACAAGCAGTCTGAAAAGTTACATACTGCATCTTTAAATCTAACCTAATCAAAAATCTAGATTAATATTCTGAATTAAGTCATTTTGGGAGAGGCTAGATATTGTATAAACAGCTCTTGAGGACGAAATAGGTTTTCATGTGTACTGCATTGCATTCAGTCTGAAAGTGTTTTTTGTCAGAGAATCAGTAAGTGCCTGTTAGCATGCTGGTTGTTAGCATTTCCGTGACGGCAAAACTCAGCTCTGTGCTCTTTAAATTGTGAAAAGTGCTTATAAACTCAGCACAGTGAATAATTAAGAAGCTCAGAAGGAAAGTGAGGAATGACTTTGGACGACTACAAACACTGCAAAAACTCAAATCTATTCAAGTTAAGATGACTTGAATTAAGAAAGTTTTATCATGACTTGAGTAAATTTCACTTGACAAGTAAAATTGTCTGCCCGTGGAACAAGACTTTTTGTACTTAAAATATGAAAACACATCTTGCTACACTTAAAATAAGAAAAACTACAACTTTTTTGCACTTAAAATAAGAAACAAAATGAAATGTTGCTTGAATTAAGAAAAACACACTTATTCCATTGGTAGATCATTTTACTTGTCAAGTTGAATCGACTCAAAATGGTCTTAATTTAAGTCATTTTAATTTACCTACATATTGTTTTTTTCCAGTGAATAGTTTGTGTTTGGACAAAATAAATCTTTGTCCTAATAAATCTCACAATTTGCAAGTAAGACGGAGTGCAGGATTTTTCTCCATGTTCTTGGGCTGCTCCCTCTCCTCCAACGCACCCGTCTCAAGTAATTGATGTGCGAAGTTGTCATTCTTTTATACCAGTGAATAGTTTAAAATGAACTAGTTTTTCATGGGTTGACAAAATTGAAAGAAAAAAAATGATAATAATAATAATAAACCCAATCTGCAGCCCTCCTGAATGCCGGTTACCAGTCAACGGTGCAGCTGGTTCCATAAGGTTCTGGTCTGTAACGTCCAAACCCAAAAGCCGGAAGTGAAGCCCAGAACACAGTGTACAGCCAGATGACCAACATGCACAAGAACGCATGGAGGTTGTTGACCCACTGACCTACAAAAAACAAACAAACAAACAGAAACAGCCAATCACAACCAAGATTCTCTCCTCTGATGGTGTGATGGGACTTACAGATTGCCTGTCCGCACCTCCCTTTAACTGACCCTGACCTGCACAAAACAAGCCATCGATCTTGATTAAATACTTCGTGACTTTTTGATAAAACTTGACCAGTATCGATCAATATTGATTTAAGGACAAAAGAAAGGACATGAAAAATAGGTCAGCTGTTTAGTGTGGTATGAAAACGCACATAATACGCCAAATTATGGATTCACTGTGGACGTTTAGCCTCATAAATTATTTACAAAGCAGTAAATGGGGCATATGCAAAATAAAAGCAGATATTTACAAGAACTGAAGTCTGATTTTGCATATTACAGTGATCAACAATAAAAGAAAAGAGAAATATAGCTATAGATAGAGAGATAAAGAGAAATGTATATATAAGGTTATGCATATGATTATATTGATACATTGCAGCAGTCTTTAATATTTCCTGGGGTCTAAAGCTAACTAAAGGTTCTGCTCTGTCTGAATCCTGTTAGACTTTAATGTGAGCTTTATTTTAACACAATCTGACAAAAAGAAGCTGGTTAAAGAAGTCTCTCTCGGATATAATTACAGCATTAGGCAACAGTTTTTCACTTAGTCACTCTTGTCTCTTTGTAGAAAATCAAAAAGGTTCCTGAAAATGTGCTTAAGTGTTTAATTAGACTTTGTATTTTTTTCTTGTGTTCAGAGAATCTTAAAACTTTTTTTTGACAGTTTTTCCTAATGTGTGTATTGTGTCAGCATGGCAACTGCTGAACATTCTGCCATAGAGACACACGTAGAACACCACCACTGCAAAGTATCAATAGAGAGAGATTATTTGTTGTTATTTGTTAGTTTGAAGTATACACACACACATCTAAATGAGTTAAAACGCCTTATTAACACACATATTTTCTCGGTCTAGGTCTTTTTTTTTGCAGTGTATGACTTTGTAAACTTGACCAACAATATCAGCGCTCAAGGACACCTGTATGAATTAAAAAATGTGACAAAAACATAGATAAAGGAGGCAGATTCTTGCATAGAGTACATGAGGTATCCTCCTAAAGCCACGTTACCATAGTTACCATATCTTAAGCAGCAGATTTTCAGGCAGCGGTCCAGAGATATGAGCGAGGTGCTGATGAGAGAGCCGATGCCAAACACAGAGCCCTGAATCCCGTACAGAAGACACCCGGTCTCCCCGAAAATCCAGGCGTGGCTCAAGCTAAAACAGAACCATATAATTATCGCTCATCTGTCTCCATGGAAACGAGCAGGTGACATGAGAGGCATGTTTTTCAAAGTATGTTTAGCCTCAAATAACGGAGTAAGTACAATGCATGATTACAAGTTAGAGATGTGTAATGCCATTCTGGAGAACAACCCAGGCAAAGCAGTAACTAACAATCTGAAAAGTTACAGAGTGTATCTTTAAATCTATTTATAGTGAAATGCTAAACTCTAAATTAATATTCTGAATAAAGTAATTTTAAGAGAGGCTAGAAGTTGTATAAATAGCTTTTGTGGATGAAAAAAATCTGCTGTGTACTGTATTGCATTTAATAAGAAAGTGTCTTTTTTGTCAGAGCATCAGGAAGTGTGTTTATTTGTGGGAAAATATTATATACAGGGTGTCCCAAAAATCTGACATAAAGTCCATAAGTCCATACAAAACTTTGCATATAAAACATCCATATTTAAAATCAACAAAATTAATAAAATGAAGCAAGTTGTACTTATATAAAATAGTGTGAAATGAAAGTGGTTTCTTGTCCAGTATTTTTACAGCTTTTTAAAAAAAGGTTTGAGTTTTGTGCCAACAGCAAGTGACCATGTGGTTATGCAATCCTCTATATGAGACACAATCATGGAGTGTAAAAACATTCACACCACATAGAGAGTCATGAAGGATCTTACCTGTCTAAAATTCACTAAGTTAAAATTAACAGTTTTATTTTATTTTTGTTTGTTTATTTTTATTATATTTTATTTTTGCTCTGTTTTCAGGTTGAACCGTTCACTCCCAAATGAAAACTCATTGTGTGTCTTGGAATCTGCTCGCACACAGTCACCCAAGACTGTGCAGAGTGCCTTCAATGCAAAATTTGAAAAAAATGGGCAAAACATTTGGACGTGGTATGAAAAGTTTAAAGAGGAAGGCCAAAGGATCTGGTAGACCATCATCAACATCAGAAGAGAAGGTCGAGCAAGTTTGTGAAAAACTCTTGTGAAGCTCCAAGAAGTCCATAAGGAGAACAAGTTTGGAAACCCAGATTCCTTGAATGATGGTTTGGCTTACCAGATCCTTTGTTTGGCAGGAGTCTAAACAGCAGGTGAACCAAAAGAGGGACTGGTGGTCACATTAATATTTGCTACATTTTTAAGCTATTATTACTGGACTATTACATATCTATTGTTTCATTTCATCTTTCATACCTGGAGATGATGAAGAAGGGCACTCCCAGGACGCTGAACCCAAAATCACACAGGGCTAAATTGACAGTGAGGAGCTCTGCAGGTTTGATTTTGCTTCTTTTTCTGTAATAAACTGCAAGCACAGCCCCATTTCCACACACGGACGACACCCCTGCAATTCATAAAAAACACACAATTACTCATATTTAACACTTGCTTATTGGCGCACAAAACACTCCTAGGAAGACGAATGAGCGGCCTTGAATGCTGAAGAAGAAAGGGACCATTGTTGGGTCAATAATTGTCTTCTGAGGTGTTGCTACACAAATGGAAAGCTTGGGCAAAAATGTGTTCGGAGAAGAGACAAAAGCTTCACTGGAAATCATTAAAGGCTTTTGTCCAATCACAGCTTCTTTATTGCTATGGAGTTATTGAGTGATGTTTACCTAGAATGATTGTTACAATAGTCTAAAAGCTGAAGTTAAACTGTACACTACCACTGAATACTCTATATGTATCAAAACAAGGACCAGCCACTACCAAATTATCGTTAAATGTCCCATATTACGTTATTTTCTGATCTATGTTATAATGTTTCCTCATCAAAAGCAGACCTACAGTTGTGTTTTGTTTCATTCACACATGTTTAATACACAAATTCTGCAGATTTAGGATGAGTTCTTCTCTCAAACACAAATCAAGAAGAGCTAAATTGTGTTTTTAATCTCTGTACACCTTCACTAGAATCATTTGGATAATTTCAGTCCTGGAATTGTCAATCTGTACTGAACAAAAGGTAAAAAGTTGCTGTTAACTTGAAAACTAATGCTTCGTCAACAAAGCACCTTGAGCTTTGGAGACACAGAATAATAATACAGGATTACTCAAACATGTGTGAATGAAACAAAACACAACTCCAGTTATGTTTTTGACGAGGTAACAACATTATAACATGGCCTCAAGCTCACAAGAGTCAGTTTTGCTTACTATAGGATCTTTATTGTTATCTCCTCTGACCGTGACCTGGAGGCAACAAGCCATCGATCTTGACAAAATGTGACAACATGACAAATATCTATCAGTACTGACTGGATTGTGTTAGAAAACATGAAGATATAGGTACTACTAGAGATGTAACAATAACCAAATCTCTCAGTACAATATTTGTCATGATATGCATCTCACGGTACAATATTTACTGCGATATTTTGGAGAGGCTGATTTAATTGTAGATAAGACACATTTCTGATTTTAAAATATCTTGACAATATTTTTTATGTGAATTATTTCTGTTATAATCCCAAGAATTTATTTAAAAAACATATTTCTTCATGTTGTGTGCACTGACATGAATCATGGGATATGTAGTTCCCTACATTCATTTTAAATGAATAATGGAAAAAAAGGATAATGGACCATTTCCCTTTTCTGTGACTTAAACTGCAATGCAGGACTGAAACAGGATTAAAACAGGTCTAAACCAGCGCTAAACCAGATCTAAACTGGTCTCAGTCCTAGTCTCAGTCCTAGTCTCAGTCCTAGTCTCAGTCCTGGTCTCAGTCTCAGTCATGGTCCTAGTCCTTTCTCAGTCCTAAACTAGGACTAAACCAGAACTGAACCAGGAGTGTCGGGACTGACCCGGACGCGACTGTCAGGTGATCAGGAAACCTGGGACCAGACCAGGACCAGACCAGGAACCTGAAACCGGGACTGAGACCAGGACTGAGACCGGGACTGAGACCTGGTTTAGTCCTGTTTTAGTCCTGGTTCAGTCCTGATTCAGTCAATATGCAGCGCAAAAGTTCAGCATTACAGTTTAAGTCACAAAAACGGGAAACAGCCGTTATCTGTTTTTTTCTATTATTCATTTAAACACAAAATAAAAAAAAAATTAAAAAAAGAATCGTTATCTGTTTTTTCATTTTGGTTTTGGAGACAAATAATGAAGAAAACAGTTGGGTTTTTTTGTTTTCTTAGTTTTTGGTTTTATATTGAAAAACAAATGAACGAATGATACACGGATTCCCAATGTTTATAAACTGTTGCTTCTATAAAATCATGCATTTAAACAAAGAAACTTGTAATTCGATATATTGTGACAGCCCTCGATAATATTGTGAGACTTTTGACGATACAACATCACGATATTTCAGTTATTGTTACATCCCAAGGGACTAAATATGTTTTTTGTAGTATTTACTTTTAAACTGCATATACACTGATTCTACTTTCTACTTCTACTGTTCATTGCTACTTTTCTACAGCAACTTAATAATAGAAATCATTTATAAATAATTAATGTGAAGGGGAAAACATAATATGATTTAATATGGATTTTTCGTAATCTGTATCTTTGATACAAAAAGTACACTAAATAATTAAATGCATGAATAAATAAATAGTATCTGGCAGCACTTTATTTACAGCACAGCAGCAGAATGGTGATTAAGTGTAATTACAAGTATTATATTGTAATTATGCATGAAAACAAAAGTATTATTATTTCATGGTAGAAAGAGCCCCATTACGATCAAAACTATAGATTTGATCACAAGAAAAAAGAAAGAAAAATAAATACACAATAGATATCATAGGATGTGTTTGTACCAAGTTACTTTAAAGTTTATCGCTTTAAATGTTGTTGCTTTGTCTGGAATGTTCCACAGTATGACATTAAACATTTCTATCTTCACAGAGACGAATCCAGACGAAGATACAAGTCAGATCTGTGGAGAGGCGATCCCGCTCACAGTCAGAATGCTTGTTTTTCTAGGGATTTTTGAGCTATAAAACCACCTGTAATTTAATAAATTTTTGTGAGATACTGTAATGAACATATCTAGACAGACTGTGGAACATTCTAGACAGAGTGATGACAGATCCATAGAAACAAGCAGGTGACAGACACCCAATCAAAAAGCTACATGGTGCACCTTCCAAATACACATTGGAAAAAGCAATATCTAGGTAAGTTAGAATGACTTAAATTAAGAATATTTTACTTTATTTGAGTCGATTCAACTTGACTAGTAAAATTATCTAATAGGGGTGTAACGATATTCAAGTCTCACGATACGATAACGATATTTATTGCGATATCGTGGAAAAGCTCATGATATGGTGGACATTATCCAAATTTCTCAGTACGATATTTTCACGATATACATCTCAAGGTTCAATATTTATTGCAATATTTTGCGGAGGCTTAGAAACAAAACTGTTAATCTGCTACTTTTTCCTCTTAAAATGCCTTAACAAGACTTAATCCAAAGAACTAAGACTTAAAAGTGCTTAGAACTGTTATTTCTTCTTGTAGTCTGCACTGAAATGGAGCAAAGGATCATGGTCTATGTAGTTCCCTTTTTTCTTTCTTTAAGATATTGCTGCACCATAACTCTTAATTTAAGCAGAGACTTGTAATTCGATATATGGTGATGATCCACGATATTATTGTGAGAACGTTGATATCACGATATTTCGGTTATTGTTACATCCCTATTATCTACTAATGGAATAAGTGTTTTGTTTTGTTTTGTTTCTTTTCTTAATTCAAGCAACATTTGATTTAGTTTTTAATTTTAAGTGCAAAAAGTTGTTGTTGTTTTTCTTATTTTAAGTGTAGCAAGGTGTATTTTTATGTACATTTTAAGTACAAAAAGTTTTATTCCACTGCCAGATCAGTTTATTTGTCAAGTGAAATTGACTCAAATCATGATAAAACTTTCATAATTCAAGTCATAACTTAACTCTTAACTTGACTAGATTTTATTTTTTGTAGTGCATCAAAAGATCACAATTTTAGACCGATTAAATTAAATAGATTAAACTATGACAAAACAAAAACAACTCAGATCTGGATAAAGAAATTCTGAACTGAAGTCATTTTAACTCGTATAGGTTTTGTTTTTGCAGAACTGGTGAAATATTAAAGGTGCATTGTATAACTTTTCTAGTGGAGGGTCACCATGGAGATGTTCCACAGTGTGACATTAAACAGCTCTACCTCATGTTTATTAAATTACAGGTGGTTTTATGGCTCAAAAATACATCGAAAAACAGGTGATCTAACTCTCCACAGGTCTGACCTCCATGAAGATAGCAAGGTTTAAAGCCATATTGTGAAACATTCCAGACAAATGGATAACATCTCCATGGAGAAAAGCATTTGAGAGACCCTCCACGAGAAAGGTTACACAATGCACTTTTAGCGTTCACAGCAAACCAACGAACAAAACGCTTTTACCTGTGAAGATGAGAAACACGGCGATGAGCAGGTCCGCCGATGGGGACAGCTTGGACAAAAACTGTGGCTCTGTGGAGGTAGAGACGCCCATGGGTGCAGGGTGAGGCGCTGAGGAGAGCACCCAAAACACAAGAGAGCAGAACCATCAAAGAACTTCAAATGATTTAAAGTATTTCCTTCAGGGCAAATACAGACACGCACGGGGTCATCGAAGTCAAGGAACTGAAGAGGACTCAAAAACTCAAGTCACAAGACACTTCAAAACAAATGTCCCGTCAATTATTGCTCGAGATGTTTTGTAATTTTGTGTAAATAAAATAATAAATGAAACGTCTTACCTTCTTTGGGGTCTGTCGTCGTTCGGTGAAGACGTAGTTGTGGTGCTGGGCGTTTTAATCTCGTGTTAAAATCATGTTTTATTGGTCTCTATGGCGATGATGGATGGTGTTCCCAAGAAGTAGTCCTTCAGCTGGAGCAGCGATGGACAGATAAAGACGAGTGCATGTGTGTGAAAGAGAGAGAGAGATGGGTCAGAGGGAGGGAGGAAGAGAGAGGAGAGAGAAAAAGAGAGTGTGTATATGTGTAAAAGAGAGAGAGATGGGTCAAAGGGAGGAGGGAGAAAAGAGAGAGAGAGGGACACTAGGGAAGGTGGGAGAGAATGAAAGAGAGTGAGGAGGTGGAGTGGAGAGAAAGAGAGAGAGAGGTGGGTGTAGGGTAAAAGAAAAGAGAAAGAATAGAGAAGGGGAGATGGATAGTGAGAGAGAGAGAAAGGGGGGATGGGGGGACAAAAAGAGGGAGAGAAAGGGAATGGAGAGAGAAGAGAGAGAGAATGAAAAGAGAGAGGAGAGATGAGAATGGATAGAGAGGGGGAGAGAGAATGAAAGAGAGAGAGAGGGAGTGGAAAAGAGAGAAACAATCGAGAAGAGGAGATGGATAGAGAGAGAGTGAGATGGGGGAGAAAAAAGAAGAGGAGATGGATAGATAGAGAGAGGGAGAAGAAAAGTAAGTGAGGGTGTGGAGAGAGAGGAGGGTGGAGGGTAAAAGAAAAGAGAAAGAATATTGGAGGGGGAGATGGATAAATAGAAAGGGGGGCTACAGAGGAAGGGGGAGAGAAGAGGGGATGGAGAGAGAAGAGAGAAAATGAAAGAGGGACGAGAAGTGGAAAGGGGAGAAAAGAGAGCGGAGAAGAGATGGGAATGGATAGAGAAAGGGAGAGAACAAAAGTAAGAGAGGGAGTGGAGGGTAAAAGAAAAGAGAAAGGATTGAGAAGAGGAGAGAGCGAGATAGACAGATAGATAGATAGGTAGAGAGAAAGGGGGAGAGAAGAGGGGATGGGAGAAAAGAGAGAAGAGAGGAGATGGAAATAGGGGAGAGAGAAAGAGGGAGAGAGAAATAGGATAGATAGACAGATAGATAGAGTGAGTGAGGGAGTGGAGAGAGAGGGGGAGAGAAGAGGAGAGAGAGAGAGAGAAAAGACAGAATGAAAGAGGGCAGAAAAGAGAGAGAGAGAGAGAGAGAGTGAAGAGAGAGAGGGGGGATGGATGGTAAAAGAAAAGAGAGAAAGAATAGAGAAGGGAAGATAGAGAAAGAGCGAGAGCGATGGATAAAGAGAAAGGGGGAGAGAAGAGAAGATGGAGAGAGAAGAGAGAGATGGGATGGGAATGATAGAGAGAGGGGAAGAGAGAGAGATGAGGTCCAGAGAAAGGAGAAGGGAGAGAGGCGAGGACAGAGGTCAAGATGAGGTGTTGGAGAGAGAGAAGCGAGAGAGGGAGAGGAAAGAGGGAGGGACAGATGAAAACAGAGAGGGGTAGATAAAGAAACTGAGGCGGAGAGAGGAGAGAGAGTGACAAAGGGAGAGGTCAGAAGATAAAAATGGGTCAGTGGGTAAGTAGAGAGAAGTCAGCAAGCAAGAGGCCACAGGTGGAGAGAGAGAGAAGGAGGTAGGAATGAGGGGAAAGAAAGAGAGAGAAGGAGGAGTGGAGGAATTGGTGAGAGGGAAGAAAAGAGAGAGAGAGAAGCCTGCTATTTATCACCTCTTTTAGGAGCTGTCACCCCGAGGTTTTTGGTTTTGGATAATCACCTTACAGGGCCATTTGCGTAACGTGGAAGTTTCTTTTATTAGATTTATGGATTGTTGGTTGTTCAACGTCGACAGTGAGTGATCATTATTGTGTACTGTTTTGAAATGTACACTTAAGATGCGTATTTACTGACAGTGTGCATGCGATGAAAACAACCACAAGGGAAATGGCTCTGTCCAAACAGTTCTGCCCTACAAATGCAGAACGGCGTAACATCGTGTTTGGTCAAAAATTAGATCATGCCATTTTGGGCATATCAGAAACCTCCTCCTTTATCACGTGAATAAATATTGTGAAAAATATTGAGATCAAAATTGACCTCTGACTTATTTGTTGTCATGCAAAGGCAAAAGGCAGTAACAGTGCATGCTTTGTTTGTGATTTAGTTAATAATATACAGTAAGTTTTTTTAAATTCCAACCTCTCGCCTCCTTCTTTTTGTCACGTCCTTGGCACAGAGTCTTAACACATTAAATAAATAAACCTTTGTATTCAATTATACTAAAATTATCTTTAATGTGAAAGTATTTTGTGCATTTATTCATATTGTACATATTATACTGCAAAGTCACTTCTCTGTCAAACTGTTTAACTGTGTAAGACCTTGGTGAGGTGTTTTTCTTATAATGGATGGAAGTCTGGTGAAAATTAAGAACATAATGATCGTGTCAGTTTCTGCCTTTTGCCTTTACACGACTCCTTATTTTTGGCTCATGATACAAAGGCAGAGAACAGGAACTGACAAATAAGAGTCAATTTTGCACTTAATATTTTTTGCATACATATATTTCTTTATTATAGCAACTAGCTGTCAGATATTGGGAGCCCTACCTATTACACTTTTGTCTGGACAAAACAGAAACTTTGAAGTCATTTTTCTCAGTTTCACACCCTGGCAAATTGAAGTCTTTTGACTTTGTAGGGCAGAGTTAGCCAGGCTGGAGTCACCTAGTGCCTCTGCTCAATTTAATTTCTCTCCAGCAACTAGGTCAGGAATCAGAATACACTAGAGGGTTTGCAAAAACCCCAGAAGTACAAGTTCGGGCACCAGCCAATCAGCAAAGAGCCATTTATTCAGTGTTGTTAACAATTCCCGAGATCGAGGATTTAAAGCCAGAACAAAGAGAATGTTTGGTGAATTTTATCAAGGGGAAAAACTTTATTGTCTTTCTTCCTACGGGATTTGGGAAAAGCTTAATATATCAGTTAGCCCCGTTAGCAGCGCATTACATACGTCACGACCAAATAGCAGCGATTGGTTAAATGATAAAAAGTACCCGCCTACTGTTGAACAAACAAATTCTAACACTGTGAGGTCAGATAGTTTCTACAAATTGAAACCAGCTGATGAATCAGGCTAGGGCAGAGCAGGCAAATTGTTAAAAGTTTATATGACTGACCAAGTTACTTATAAATCTTACATTGTTTATGTCAAATAAACCATTCTGAAATCAATCAACAGAGAAACTTAAAAGGTTAAAAGGAAATTTATATGGAAAAAAATTACATAATGTTTTCTTATTAGTATAAGTTGAAATAGGAATAGTCAAGTCATATTACCAAAACATTTCTAGCTCAAGATGTTGAGATGGGTCCCCTGCTCCTGACATTTTGCCCTATAGCAGCACTGAAGAATGGGTCAAATGCAAAGGACAGATTTCCCTACAGGGACAGAAAAGTGTATCTTGTTTACCATGTTACACAACTGCAGATTTCTAACAAACACCACTGGGGAAAAACAGCAGGAATAAAAGCCTGGTTTTCCTGTGGGCACAGCTAACTAAGCAGTTCCATGTCAAGTAAACAGAGTGCAGAAAGAGCCCACACAGTCGGTGGGTGAGGAACCGCTGTGTTTCAGATGACATCATGTCATTCAATAGGCAAATAATCTTTAATACACATGGGGGCACTTACAATTAATGTAGTTAAATCCTGCTTTTTGTTCTAATACAGTGAGTTCTTGTGTCCAGTTAATAATAGTCATTATTTGTATTGTTTGTTTTGTGTACTTTAAATAAACAAAACTTAAGATAAACAAAATCCAATTGTTATATTATCTGCCCTTTCTTAAACATGAAAATAACACACAAATATACAGGTTATGGTTTAGACACTGGTTTTACTATAACCTGCAACATACAACACTACAAGTATAATATACACATATTACATATTTTTTTTATTATTCAATTCATATGATTGGATTGTTATTGCTTGAAAATTGTTTGTAAATAATCAAGTTCAACATTAGTGCACTTACTTTTTAGATATTTCATGAAAAGGTAAAATAAAAAAAACTGTGTCTTGCCCCCATCAGGGAGAATGGCATCATCTCATTCTACAACCTGATTAGAAAGAATCAGGTCTGTTTGTCATACTCCCTGATGGGGGCAAGAGACAAAGTTCCTCACTGATTATATTGCTCTTTGATGAGAAATTTTAAAAAGATTAATTCACAAATGTTTTTCTATTAGTGACAATACCACAGATCTCACTCTATTACAAGAGAAGTCTGCAATTTAACATGATTGATTTTAACTCTAGATGTTGTTATGTCATCTGAAGTCCAGCAATTACCGGTACTAGAGGGTAAAAGAGGGTTTTTTTGTTTTGTTTTTAATATGAACTCTGCTTGTACATTTCTGAATATTAAACCATAAAAATGCATTGAGCAATCAGAATTGATTAAAGAGTGATGTGCCTCTGTCTCTTCAGTCTTCATCATTACTGATCTTTGACATTTTCAAACTCCCTGCTGAGCATCGTGGGTAATGAAGAGGTCAAAGTTTAGATTAATAAAATGTTTGGATTCATTTTAAAACATGCTGCAGGCTCTGCACCGCTGCCACGTTGGCTGTGCACCTTCTGTCAAGTGGATGCATTGTGTCCTTAGGCAAGACACTTCATCCACATTGTCTAGTATGAAAGTGGTGTGTGCATGTGAGATGTTAGTGGTCCGAGGCGCCGATGGCACAGATTGGCAGCCTCGCTTCTGTCAGTCTGCCCCAGGGCAGCTGTGGCTACAGTAGTAGTTTACCACCACTGAGTGTTGAGTGAATGAATGATGAACTGTAAAGCGCTTTGGGGATCTTGAAAAGGTGCAATATAAATGCAATGATTAATATTTTAGGAAAAACTCTGATCCACCTTGTGATGTCATGTGTTGTGTGTGGCAAAGTGTCAGTATTGAGCAATTTTTTGTCAGAACAAAGTAGCTATTTAAATTTGGGACGTGCAGTTTAAATGAACTCCAGCAACTACTGTTTTAAGTTTATCGGAAGCGAGATTTCATGGGGAAAGGCAATTAAGAAGTTTTGTTAAGATCGAAAAATGAACTCCAAATTCTAGCCATTAATATTATAATTGGATAATGAAATCGTTCTAGGAGTATTTCAATGCATAAATGTTGGCAATTTATATAGATCTTTATGGAAAAAACAAAACTCAAAGTCAGAAGTTTTCTCACAAACAGAGGACTTTTATTCCACCATTGGCAGAAGACTCACTCCTTCACCATCGTACACAAGAACAGAATAGGGAATTCAACTTCAATAAAAAAAACAAAACAATTGGTCACCATTTTGAATCTTTGAGTGGGACCTTTGCTCAGGCTTCACATGGGGTCAGCAGTCATCACGGTTTACAGTTTCTGGTATTTGAATGTGGACTGAGGTCAGGCGAATGGGGGCGGAGCTTACTCCTTGCCCGCCATGTGGGCCATCAGGTCAATGACGCGGTTGCTGTAACCGAACTCATTGTCGTACCTGTCAAGACAAAGGGCAAGCTTGTGAGAAGAATTGAAATTAAGAGATGGAAGATTTTTATTGTCCAAGATAAATCTACATAAAAGATAGAATAGTTTCAAATTTCAAATGATGAATTATACGTTTTTTTTAATAGAAGGACCATTTTTCTGTCTGTAAAAGCTTATAATTTGTAGACAAGACCAGACTTTGGAGAGCTGGTTGGGTTCCCATCCTTCTTGAGGACATTTCATAGACCATTAACTTCCTGGAGACTGATCTTAACCTTAACCCCAGCCCTAGTACTTCACATGTTAACCCTAATCTCTAATCTACTTCAACCCATATCTCAAGTTTAAAACCATGTTGAGCCAATAATAAAGGATTTATGTCACGGGGACCAGATTTTTGTCCCCATATAAAGGAAGGCAGGTCTTGCAATTTCATAAACCCTTCTTCCTCTCTTCTTCTGCAAATTCGCACTTCACTGAAACAGGATAAATCATACCACTCTCTCACTACAAGACTCAAGTCTGACCAACAGAAGGAGTGGGTGGGGAAAAGTGTCTTGGTTTAAGTATAGAACTGAATTAAACAAAACATGAGTTATCAACATTGTCCTCCTGACCTAATCCTTCCCCTTCTGCAGAGATTTTGTGTTTTGTCAGTACCATCCATTTTCTGTGCTGTTTAAAAGGTCCTGTATTACATTAAGATTCTTGTGAGCTTTAAGTTATGTCAGAATGTTGTTACCTCATCAAAAACCTGGAGTTGTTTCGTTTCATTGACACATTTGAGTAAACCTTTAATATTGGTCTACATCTGCACTGTTCCACCTTGTGATAACATGAAAATACATCTTCATGACAACAGCTACTTTTATTTTTTGATCAGAAGAGATGGGTCGTTCCAGGTCTGAAATATTCAAATGATTTTAGTAAAAGTGCATGCACGTCCTGTATTACCACATGACATCACAAGGTGGGACAGAGTTTAAGAGAAGAACACCTAAATAAAGCCTAAATATGCAGGTTTTGTGTGTTAAACTTGTGTGAGTGAAACAAAAACAAAACTCTGGGTATGTGCTGATGAGGAAACAAAATTATAACAGATTAGAAAAATATAATATTGGCCCTTTCAGTTCCTGTTCTCTAGTTAAAGAGACGTACCATGTGACCAGCTTGACAAAGTGGTCGTTCAGGGCAATGCCGGCACCAGCGTCAAAGATGGAGGAGTGAGTGTCACCGTTGAAGTCTGTGGACACAACCTGGAAAAGACAAGAGAATTTAGTTAAAATTCACTCCAAGAACTAAATATTTAAAAAGGGGTTTAAATGAGTTTTAATTCAGTTAAAATACACCAAATTATTTCAGTAGCTTGAACTTTTGATTTATTTACAATTTTACTTCATGACCATTTTTTTATTATTTCAGATTTTTCCAGTCATAAAAAAATTGTATAAACTTAGACCTACAAACTAAATCTAAACTTAGATAAACTATTCAAAAAAGTGATTTGATTTTTGATTCAGGTGGACATTTTTAGTGCATTTCTGTCTGAATGCAAATGTTTAAAGTTGTATGGACATACCTGGTCTTCTGTGTATCCCAGAACACCCTTCAGAGGACCGTTGGCAGCATCTCTCACCACCTTCTTGATGTCCTCATACTTGGCCTGTACAAATTATCCAGGTTAATCTTATTATAGAAAAAAAGTCTTTTAATGTCTATTACAAAAAATAATTGAAAATGAGTAAAAACTATTGTTCTATGCATTTTATAACTTATTTCACTTAGTTGTTTATGTTTCATTCATCAGTTTTACAAGATAAATTAATGTCTGCGTGTCACTTTTAATTTAGTTTATAAATATGTTAAATTAAGTGGATGGAGGTAGATTATTGTAGAATATAATGGGCACTTACGGGCTTCTCCAGACGCACTGTCAGGTCAACCACAGACACGTTGGGTGTGGGGACACGGAAAGCCATGCCGGTCAGTTTTCTGTGGCCAAAACACATCATTACTACAACAGTCATGTTTAACATTAATAATTTCGTACAGCGTGTTTTTTTAATCACTGACCCGTTGAGCTCGGGAATGACTTTGCCCACAGCCTTGGCGGCTCCAGTGGAGGCGGGAATGATGTTCTGGCTGGCACCACGTCCGTCTCTCCACAGTTTTCCAGAAGGTCCATCCACAGTCTTCTGGGTGGCTGTGATGGCGTGGACTGTGCTCTGTGACACAAATACAAATCACCACATTTACTTCCCCTGCATAATTTTAACACACATGCCTGTAGTTCATCACTGGTGATTTTTTTCCTAAACGGCAAAACGTGAACATCTAACCTTGGTTCAAATTCACTTTCTAGTCCAATCACTCAAATCAACAGAAATCAATACAGATCTTTATGACAAGTCACCTGCACGATTACACAGAAATGTAAAGATAAAAACCATGCTTTGAACATTTTATGCCATACTGTGGAAAATTCTAGCCAAAGGAACAACATTTCCATAGATATAAGCAGGAATAGGCCTTGCTTCAGGTCAAAAGTCAGCTTTGTATAAAGGCAAGTCCATTCAGCGCTCAGACAGATGCATATTTTCTACATTTTTCAGTGCAATATAAATAAGTAAAACATGCCTTTTGTACATTTGACCTTAAACATTGGGCTTTAATACATGACTTACTTATAGATACCAAACAATGTATGTATGTATGATTTTGTTCCAAGTTGACTGAATATGACAAAGATTAAATTCTTACCATCAGACCCTCAATGATGCCGAAGTTGTCGTTGATGACTTTGGCGAGAGGAGCCAGGCAGTTTGTGGTGCAGGAAGCATTGCTAGAAGAAAATATAGAACTTATAATTTGCATTATAGAGATGCAACTGATATGAAACTGCATTTTCTGCCAGTGAGGTCAGTATATTGAATGTTAAATATTTTACCTTTCAAACAGTCAAAAGTATGAATGAGCTGATGGAGCCAATGTGTAATCATCTAAGCCACTGGTAATAAGATTTACAGATTAAAATATCCTGAACATTGTCAGTCAATTTATCTGACATTGCATCCAGTGTCTAGGAGATGCTATGTGCGTGTCCTTGATGTTTATAGATTTCTGATGGATGGCTCTGGTGAAAAACAGTTCCCGAGTCAAGTCTCCTCCGTCCTCTTACCTGACAACCTTCAGGGAGTTGTCGTACTTCTCGTGGTTGACGCCCATCACAAACATGGGTGCATCTGCGCTGGGGGCAGAGATGATCACCCTCTTGGCACCGCCCTTCAGATGAGCCTAACATCAGAGAAGACAACATTTAAAAACAATGCTGTATATCATACAATTCAACAATTAATTACTAGGCCTATCCACAAAAGTTCAATATCAACATCTGTCACAAGAAAAGTGAAATCATTTTATCACAATAGCTCCAGAAATTGGTTCCATGAACTCCTAAGATGTGATTGTTGTTGAAAGAACTATAAGTCTTAGGGATAATATGGCAGGTTTGTGGACCAAATTTTTTACTATAGGGTTCACAGTTTTTGGTCATAATTTGGACGTTTCTTCTGAAAGCTGAACCTGCCCCATAGCACTAACATTCTGAAGTCTTTTCATGTTGATACATTTTACAGTACATTGTGTCTGGCAGTGCATTGTGGGTACGTACAGAGGCCTTCTCGATGGTGGTGAACACACCAGTGGACTCCACCACGTACTCGGCTCCGGCCTCACCCCATTTGATGTTGGCGGGGTCCCTCCTGCAAAAAGAAAAGCAAATTTTAACATGTTCCAAAATAAGGATGAAAAAATGTCTTATTGAAAAATTAAGTCCCTCAAGTAAATTAAATCTAAAAATGTACATGGGTCAAAACTACTCAGAATAAGACTCAGGTTCTTATTTCAAGTAATTTTAAGTAATTTTGATATTCCCTTTTGCTGCAAATGGTCATGAAAAACATTAAAGGTATGAAGAGAGGCGAGCCCACTCACAAAAAGAATGCATGTTTTATTTCCAAGTTTTAAGCAACATGTACAATATACATACAATTGGATACAATTCCTATAGAGAGATAAGTGGCAGGCAAAGACAACAAAGTGCAGCAGTAAAAACAGTGGACTTACTCGTGGAAGACGGAGATCTTCTGTCCATCGATGACCAGCTTGTCGCCCTCAACCTTGACTTCACCCTTGAAGCGGCTGTGGGTGGAGTCGTACTTGAACATGTAGACCTTAAAACCAAACAAATGTGATATTAAAAACTGTATTTGAATTAAGAGGACATATGTTAAATTAACTTTTATGAACATTTACCCATGTTACAACACTGCTCCCTCATTAGCTCACTCCGTTATATTTCAACTGATTTATGCATGTTTGAGTAATGATGTATTGTCCTGTATTTGAGGCTTGAGTGCTCAAAAAAAATCCTGTTTTCACCTACCCCCTATCTGTGACCACTGCTCTGAACTTAAATGTGATTATTGAAATATTTTAACTAATATTAGGCCTAATTTCCCAGAGTACAAAACTATAATCTTCCAAATCATCTTCATGCTCACCATGTACTCCAGGTCGATGAAGGGGTCGTTAATGGCCACAATCTCGACCTTCTTGGAGTGGAAGGCAGCGCGGGTCACCAGACGACCGATGCGGCCGAATCTGAAAATAATGAGACAAGTGCTGTTAAACAAATGCGTCACTAGAGGGAGCAAAACACACACACAACTCTACTCTCATGTGACTTGGTACATTTGAAGCCAAGAGTTATAAATACTACATTACAGCCAGGGCTGTTCCCTGGCCACTGGAGCTGGTCTATTCCAGAAGATAAAGCCAACTACAGTTTTGTGAATGATTTGTAATAAAATCTAAACACTATAAGATATGAAGTTATGTTTAAAAGGATGTCTGGACTGAGAAAAGCCAACTAGACATATGGTTTGCATTATGGTTTACACAATTTATGTTTAAATAGAGAGATTTAAAGTTCAAAGTTCACATTTCACACACAACCAGCAGCATGAAGATTTGAGAAGACTGACATATGCTGCTAAACTAATAAAAAAGAGGTAAAAACTACAGGGTTAGCAGGTTTTATACAGAATAAGACCTGGCATTTTGTCGGTTGTAGGGAAAAACGTTGCATAAATAACTGCAGATTTTGCAATTTGCCAATTATGACATTTCAAGTTGCAATTTAGATTCGATTGTGGTACATAACCCAATTCAATTATATCACAAAAGATCCTCGTTAGGTGGACTGTGCATAAAATTCAACTGGCTAAAATAGCACTTGGAACTCAATATGTTAGGAGCAAAGTATTTAGTAAGTATTTTTCTTGCTTATATGTACACTGTGGTCCAACGAAAGAAATTATCTGATTGAGACCCTTTCACGAAGCCTAATCTGAAATAAGTTTTGGATATGAGCCACCTGAGTGTGCAGTTTTCAAAGTTGCTGTATATAGATTTTTACAAATTGTATTGTTTTCAGTTTACAACAACATTTGACATTACATTTATCTCTTTAAAAATCAAAGCAAGTGTTGAGTCATCATTTTATGTTTTAATCCAACTTTGTGCATTGAAAGTGAAGTGGAAGATTCTAGAGGATTTGCACCTCTAAAGGGTATGTAGGTGTATGTTCCTTTCTTGTGAAGCCTTGGTCAGAGTCAGATGGCCAGTTCCAAATTTGCCCCCCCATGACATTCACTGGTATTGTTTGGTTTATGTGCTACTTAAAGGGCACGCATTTTAAAGCTGGTCTTTTCTGTAACTGGATCTGAGCTGCAGAGAAGAGCTAAAGGCCAAAGTTCAGGGGGAGGACCCATAGGGGGCGTTGCATTCTGGACATTCAGCTACTGTCCTGGACGACCTGGGAGGCTAAAGTCGAACTTAACCGGTGATGTGAATACTCTGATGACGCCATAGATGAAGTTACTTTTTAACCTGGGTTTCCTCTAACGCAACTCCTCGATTAAAAAAGAGGATTACCTACCAAATCACAAATGTCAATAGACTCTGCTTTGGCTCCAAGAATAAAAACTCTCCTGTTTTGATCTGATAAGACTCAGTGTTATGTATTACTGTTTTTTATGTTTTTAAAATTATTGTTCTTTACTTTAGTAGAGTCTGGGAGTTGGGTCATCTTAAAAAGTACTAAAAGAAATAAAATGCATTGTAATGAATATTGACAAAGGGAGAAAGTGTGTGGACACAAACTCCACAATACACCTGTGCAACATGAGATTACAATTTTCATCTTGCAAGAAACTAAATAAATTGCTAGTGTGCTCCATCTGACAGAGCTGCTGAAGAGTATAATAAATATTTGCATATATTATTTTGAGAAATGCTGCATTTGGGTTTCAGAAGCAATGTTTTGGTCTTCATTCAGTCTTGGATAAATGTTATTTTGACTAATAATAACTACATTTGCACGTTTTGTTTACGTTAACTGAACTTTGTAAAGGGTGTATATTAAAAAGTTGCAATATAATCGTCATTTTAATATTGAACTTTTCTCTCATATCGTGCAGACATGTAGTGGGCCTGCCCCTGTGTCCTCCTGAACCACTGCCCACATTGTTATCGGCTCAAAGTTCAAAGTTCAAAATGTGTCTGTCAACATGTTTGCGTCAGAACATTGTAAGACATTTCTTTGCAGTTCTCAAGGTTAAAATAAAACCTTAACAGGGACATTAGAAGACTTTTACAAGCTCCTCAGGTTTGTTTCATTTGAGATAAAAAGTATGACTCAAATTCTCTACTATGTTTGAGGATCTAACCAGTCATTCAAAAAGGCATCTGTGAAGGCTGGATAATAATTTTAAATGCTTTTGCACAGTGGCTCTGCTGACTCCAGAGAGACTAGGCTTAATGAGAGTATTTATAATCCAAGTGTGCATTCAGCAGTGATGTCTACAGTTACAGTTCTGCAGTTATGTGTGGACAGTGCTCTTACCCATTGATGCCAACTTTCACCATTTTGCCTGAGTGGGTCTTGTCCTCTGAAAGCAAGAGAGAAAAAGACAAAAATCATTCACTTTATAGAGTCATCGTGCAACTTCCTTTTAGTTTACAGATGATTTACAGCTCAACTTTGACTATTTATCGACGAAATATGCAAAATAAGTCCTTAAAAAGTTGCTCAACAATATCATGCATGTAGTTTGCGTTTTTGGTTTGCATAAATCACGCAGTAAAGCCGTGGTAAGGTGCAGTTTTTACCGTTTGTGAGGTGCTCTGTCTTGTGTCTCCGGGTGAGTGGGGGAGAACACGGCGTAGCGGCGACTTTTTATGTTTGACCAGGCCACGCCCCCAGGCCACGAGCACGCTGCGTCCTGCCACGCCCCCTTTATATGTCAAGGTCGAAACTGCACAAAATGTGCAACAAAACATTATAGAAGAAAGCACGAGTGTCCATCTGTTTAAGTTATGTGTGCAAGTTGTGTTTTTAAAGGGTTGGTGCAGCTAATTCTTACTGTTTAGACACTTGTTGGATGTTTAATTGAGTTAATTGAAAAATGAGATTCATTATGACCTTTGTAAATAGTCAGGAGGGGAAGGTCAGAGAAGGGGAGGGGTTGAAATACAGGGAGGGAGAGGGAGAGAGAGAGGAGGGGGCATGATGGGAGACAGAGAGAAAGAGTGAAAGAAAGAAAGAAGGGAGGGGGAGGTGAAAAGAAACAGCGAGAAGTAAAGAGGGGAGGCAGGGAGAGAAGAAGAGAGGAGGGGGAAAGCACTCTCACCAGACATATAGAAGGTTCTGGGTTTGATTCCCGAGCTTTCTGTCTAGAGTTTGTGTTTCTCCTTGTGTCTCTGGACTCTCTGGTTTTCCCCATCAACCCAAAACATGAACAATAAGTCAAATTCTACAGCTAAGGTAGTCATGATGACCCAGACTACCTCAAGATCTGGAGGTGGACCTGTGCTCTACACTGCTCCTAACACTGGCACTGAAGGCTGGTCTAATGCAAAGAACACATTTTTCTATGGGGACAATAGAGTGTAACTCAGGGGTCTCCAACCTTTTGAGTCCGGTGAGCTACTTTTACAAAACGAAAGTGCCAGAGAGCTCCTTATTTTAGCAGTGGCAAGAAATTGATTCAATATAAGAGGACAGGCCTTAGATGTACAGTATAAAACATTAAACCATTATCCATTTATTCGGGCACAAAGTTCAAAATAACACATTTACAGTTGTAATTAATCAGACTTGAATGATTTAGTATAATATGTATAATTCAGAAATCCTTTGGCAAGCTACTTGTAACAGGGTGGAGAGCTACTGGTAGCTCCTGAGCTGCAGGTTGGAGAGCCCTGGTGTAACTTAACCTTCAGTGGGAAAGAGATAAACATATAGTTAGAACATATAGATAGAAAGAACAATGTACAGACTGCAAAGAAAAAGAATTAGGGATGGGAAGAAATAATAAAGATAGTGATGGGGTAGAGGGGGCTGGCAAAAGATGGAGAGGGGGAAGAGGTGAGGAGGGATGAGGACAGAGCCAGCATTGGATCAAATCTCTGCCTCAGTCTTTGACATTTACTGTCCAAAGACCACGACCCTGAGTCCAGCTCCTCTTCAGCTCCTCTGGTCTGGACTCAGGCTCCGACCACCTGTTACGTCACCACAGTGAACTTTGAGTCTGAGCTGTTTTGTGTGCTTAAATGACACTGTGTACTATGGAAGGATATATAGGCCATAACATATATGATCACGTTAAACCAAGTTTGACTGAAATATGATGCAGACAAGTGGTTCTCAAACTTTTCTTAGATATTTTTTTTTTAAAATATTTGACATTTTGAGTATTACCAGATCTAAACCAGGTCTAAAACTATTAAAGCTTTAAACTATAGAGCTATAGGTCTAAAACAAGATTACACAATCGCTACAGGTACCACACTTTGAAAACCATTGACATAGACCTGTGTTTATTGATGTTATTTTGTTTATCCATCACCTGCTTGTCTCTATGGAGATATGCTTTGTCTGGAATGTTTCACAGTGGCATTAAATCTCTATTTTTATTCAATTACTGGCATTTCTATTCTATTAAAAATGCCTTAAAAACATGATTTCTTACAGTGAGCAGGCCCTCCTCTCCACAGATCTGACCTGTAACTTATCTCATCGATATAGATATGTTTAATGCCATACAGCGGAACATTCAAGAGAAAGCAATAACATCTCCATAGACACAATCATTCACATAGTGTAGCTTTAAATTTAGATTTAATACAGATTTTATGCCGTTTCGATTTTAGTAGTTAGTTTAGTTTTTATTAAATTTTTTTGTCTTTTATTTATTTATTTATTTATTTTTTGGACTGAGTTCATGTTTGCACCATTCACCTGTGACAAATCCGAGTTCATGCATCCTGACTGAATCCTCTTAGAATTTTATTTTATTTTTTTTTAAAGAATGCAATAATCTAATAAAAAAAAGTTTGTAGTTTTCCTTATGTCTCCTTTTATAAACACACACACAGGTGATGGAGCCACAGATGAACTTCTCAGACTTGGTGCACACATACCACTGAGGCTGGTCTCCCCGTCGCTGCTTAAGGTCGACAGGGGAAGAAAAGGTCAAACTAAGATTAGACTTTGGTGTTGGACTGTGCACTTGTTACGTTATACTCTGTACTGCAAACCCCTCCCCCCACACCACATGACCCTGCGCGCCACAGAGATCACACTTTATGCAGAACTTTAAAAATGACAGATGCAAAAATTGTTCTGCTGGTTACATTTAAAGGAGCCCTGTGTGACTTTGGAGACCTTTTCTTCACCAGAAAAGATATGCAGCTTTAACTCGTACATCTTTAACTCGTACATCTTTAAATCGCATCTTTAAATCGTGCAAGAGTGAGACTTTTAGAGACATTTTTCAGTGATAAAAAGTAGATCTATCTGGGGTCAGTTGTAAAGTTCAAACAGTTCAAAACCAATGAACAGTTTTTACAGACATGTTATAGCGCGCCACCTACTGTCTGATGCAAGCACATTCAAACACAAATGTATACACGATGTTTATATTGTAATACCTTAAACGTGCTTGGAACATTTCCTTTTATAATTATATTTCAACATACATATTGATACTTTTTAGTGACATCACACTGGGGGTCTTCTACATGTATGTGTATAGCGATTACCATGAAGACATACTGCACACATTAGTAAACACTACCATGAAAGTTTTCAAATAGAAAATAGAAAACTCAAGAAAAAATTCAAAATGGATTTAAATGACATATTTTCGGGAGCTTGTGATCAGTACTTTCACTGTAACATTTAGATGTGTTGGCTAATGCCTTGAGACTATAATGTTATTTTCTTCTTATTTATTTATTTGTAAAGGGACAGCACATATTAATGAACATTTAATATGTCACTATACAAAGATTACAGCCAGAGTGGTTAATTTCCATCTTCAGTCCCTTGGTATGTTGATGTCAAATAATCTACAGGACAGGGAAAAGTACAGCAACAATCACACAAAAATACACAACACCAGCACACTCACTGTACATACAATTAATTTTAAACCATTCATTTGAAATTTGAAGTCACGAGTTATGGCATGGTGTTAGTTTTCATTGAATTATTATACTATTCTTAATCCGGTTTTATTTTGTATTTCTCTAGCCATGTATTTTGACTTCCTGTTGTGTTGACTGTTTGCCCCGCCCTAATGTGTCTCACCTGTGTCTCATTTGTGTGCATATATATACCCTGTGTTCTCCTTTGCCCTTTGTTGCTTCATTGTCATTATCAGTGTCATGTCTGTTTGGATTTTTGTGTTTGGTCATTTTTTGTTTTATTAAACAACTTCGGAAATGCAGTCTTGCAATTTGTGTCCCACTTCTGCTCTAAATGTGACAAGGTTTTACCAGAGAGGAACTTAACAGTACAAATACTTTTTTTTCTGGGTAGATTGTGTTGAAATAAAACTCAGGTTAAAAAGCAGTGCCTACAGTTAATTTCACACCCCCGGGAAATGTTGATGGCATAATGTATCAATATGGTATTTTTTTCTACTATAAATAATTAGTGACCAGGCTTTCCTATTTACCCAGGACAGTCCCAGTTTTGAGCCCTGTGTCCCCTGTCCCAGCAGATTTATCCAAAACCATTGATTTGTCCCAGTTTTACACAAGAAATGTCCCAGGTGTCCCTATTTTTGACCAATCTGATCCCTGGCAACAGTAAAGAGAGGCATACATTGTCATTTCTTTAAGTAAGATACAGAAAAGCTGCTTAAAACCATGAAAACACAAAGAAAATTGACTATACTGGCTCACATTAGTGTCAGGTGCAGAACAGTTTCCCTTAATTGTGCACTCGATTTACAATTTTATTATTACCAATCACCACAAAGCAGGGATGTCCCAGTTTTTTATTTTGAAAATCTAGTCACTCTATGATAGAAACATGCAAGTGAAGGACCCCCAACCAAATAAAAAAGTTACGTAGTGCACCTTTAAAGCTTACAAGAATCCATTTTGTGCAATATAGACCCTATAAGAAAAGCTTAAGTATGTACGTTGCTGAAAGTAATCTAACCAAATCTCTGCAAAGTGCCTGGTTTACCCTTAGATGAGGCCCGACCACGCAATGATGAGCCAACCTGCGCCCACGCGGTCTTCCCCAACACATTTAAAACACACATTTACTGTCCACACTTCAAAATCCCGTCATTTTCTGCGATGAGACACTTTCACATTTTACATTTCAGCCGCAGGAGCCTGGCAAAGAAGCAAAGAACAAACCAACTCTCAACGCCACGACTTGACGCAACTGGCAGAACATTTGAATGGTAAAAATATACTTTACCCCGCAAAAAAAAAAAAAAAAAAAAAAAGCAAAGAGTGTTCATGCGTGATAAGAAATCAGCCCTCATAAATGTCAAATCAATTTATTCATGCAAATTATAGTAAAAAACACATTAGGATTAACAGATCTGTAACCATTTCTAAACATCCAGCCACATATTTAAAAGCGAAAATTTTACAGAAAGCTGCACAAAAATCTAAAATAAGTTTAATAGTTACTTGGTTGGAATGATTTAAGTGTAGCTAACATGTATTCTTCGTGGTGAGTGAAATCACAGAAGGTACATGAAGAGTCTAACCCGTTTCACACAACGGTGACGTTTACTCTGAAATATCAAGCAGGACTGGACCTTAACAGTTTGGGTCATGGGTCACGGGTCACATTTTCAGATGCGAGGGTCGTATTTTTAATGATCTGTACAGTTCAACCCACAAAGGATGGACTCTAGGGCACGACTATGGATGGACACTATAGGGTACTACGACTTAAAAAGGAATGTGCGGAAAATATGATGAGAAATGAAAGTGTTGCGCTCGTTAAAGTTAATTTATTCCTCATTGGTTTTTAACTAAGCTACATGAAACAGGAGAGAGAGAAGAGAAGGAGGAGAAAGAGAGAGATAGAGAGAGAGAGAAAGGGAATAGAGAGTGGAGTAGAGAGAAGAGAAGAGAGAGAGAGAATGTGGACATAAACAGAGAAAGAGATGGAGAGAGAGGAGAGAGAGAGGAAGAGGGGAGGGAGAGTGAGGATAGGAGGCGGAGGAGAGGGAGAGAAGAGAAGGGGGGAATAGAGAGGGGAGTAGAGAGAGAGAGATAGAAAGAAAGAGAGAGAGAGAGTGGGGGCACGCACACACAGGGAAAGAGGGGGATGAAAAGGAAAGGGAGAGAAGAGAAGGGTATAAGAAAGAGAGAGAGGGGGATATTGAGAGGTGAGAGAGAGGAGAGAGAAGAAGATGGAGTGAGAAAGAGAGAAAGAGAGAGGGGGGGATAATAAGGGGAGTAGAGAGATGGAGAGAGAGAGAATGGGGACACAGACAGAGAAAGAGATGGAGAAACAGGAGAGAGAGAGAGGGAGAGGAGAGAGGGGGATGAGAGAGAGAGATGGAGAGGGAGAGGAAGAGGAGAGGGAGAGAGTGAGGATAGGAGAGGGAAAAAAGAGAAAGGGAGTGTCGAGAGAGAAGGGGTGAGAAAGAAAGAGAGAGGGAATAGGCTCAGACAGAGAAAGAGATGGCGAGAGGAGAGAGAGAGACAGATGAGAAAAAGGGAGAGGAGAGGGAGGGGGTAAGGATAGGAGAGGGAGGAGAATGCGAGAAGAGAAAGGGAAGGAGAGAGAGAAGGTGGTGAGAAATAGAGAGAGAGAGAGAGAGAGCGCAAAGGGGAAAAAGAGAATGGAGAGAGGAATAGAGAGATGAGAAAAAGAGAGAGAGAAAGTGGAAAAGAGTCTATACAAATAAATGAATGAACACAATGCAATAGATTATAAGACATGGGAGGAATAACCTTACAAGATGAATTAGAACTAAACACGTTACTGTCCGAAAATGTCAAAACTAAACTCTACACATAACTTGTCTATAAAGGTGTTAAAGTCAAGCTCTGCATTTTAAATATATTCCTCTCTTTTAAGATCTATTCTAACAAACATGTACCACTTTTGTCTAGAGGCTGCGTTCACGACGTTCAAGAACTTCAACATTTCAAATAATGGAGGGCAGGGGCCTAAAAACTAAAAATGCACAAATGTAAACAACATATTTTATAATAAAGATCACAAATCTGCTGTATTAATCTTGTGACTAAATATTTAATGTAATAATAGTAATAATTTCATCTTTTTTTAGTTACATAACATAGAAGAAAGTTTTTAGGCCCAGAAACAGAAATATTCTCCCTAAACCAGCTCAAAACTGCTGCAATTAAACAGGAAATTCTAGCAATATTCTGCCCTCCAACTTAATATCAAACAGTTTTCAATATTACGACGTCACGTGAACGCACCTTGCCCTCTCCCCTGCTTATACTAACACCCCAGTCCGCTCATGGATCCGATCCGGTCCAGTTTGAGCCCAAAACATCCCCGGTCCCAGCCCCTCCTCAGTCGGTCCGGCTCTGCTCTCTTCTGATTGGCCAGCGCCCCCTTGAGCAGGCGCAGCCACTGGGTATCGGCGGCGGAGGCGGCAGGGGCGGGGTTCGGAGGGTACTCCCCGGACTTACCCCCCGTGGAGCCGGCGGAGGGGGGGGCTTCGTCGGGAGGGCTGTTCAGCATGTTCTCCAAGTCGTCCAGGGTCAAAAGGTCGTTGTAGCGTTCCAGAAATTGCTCGATGAACTGCACGAAGGGAAAAAAAAGATCAAATTTAATTGGCAGAGGGGACTTTAATTAAATCAGCGATACATCTCATTACTCCTCCCTTCCACTTCCTATGAACAAAGTACATTTGTCAAATTACATACGCACGAGGTCGACTGGAGATTTTTTGAGATCCTTAGACTTTGAAATCGAAATACTTTGCCCTACAACTACTTTAACATGCCCATATTGAGGTATTTTCTGATCTGTGTTATAATGTTTCTTCATCAAAAACAGACCTGGAGTTGTGTTTTGTTTCATTCACACATTGAACACATAAATCCTGCATTTTTAGGCTGAGTTTCTCTCTCAAAAACACTCCACTCCACCTTGTAATGTCATGTAGTAATACAGGAAACTCTACACACTTTCACTACAATTCTTTGGATGATTTTAGCCCTAGAATTGCCCATCTCTACTGAATTAAAATCCAAAAGCAGAGGCAGTGCTACCATTAGGCAAAAGGAGGCAGCTGCTTAGGGCCCCCAAACCTGGAGGGGCCCCCAACCAATTGCCCTCAGTGCCACTAATGTCCGAGGCCTCAGAGCAGTTTGATTTTCTCTCAATATGACATTAAATGAGAGTATTTTACTTTTAAACAATAATCATAAGAAAAATAATCATACTCATATGTGATGGATGTAAACCAAAATGTAATTGTGCTACCAAAAAAATAAAACTACTTAAGCAACCAAACTAATAAGACAAGTTTCCAATCCACCATAATTCAAATAAATAGAGATGTGCATGTCTCAAGAACAATGTGGAAAAACAGACAAAAAAAAATATTAAACAAAACAAAACATTATAGTGAGGGTGCCAAACTCAAGTTCACCTAGGGCCCCCAAATTGCTAACTCCACCCCTGGGTAAAAAGGAGCTGTTAACTTGAAAATGATCACTGTATGACATCAAAAGGTGGAACAGCACTGCAAAAAGTCACATCTAGGTTAGTTAAAATTACTTAAACTAAGAACATATGACTTTATTTTAAGTAAATTCTACCAATGAAATAAGTGTGTTTTTCTTAATTCAAGCAACATTCAATTACGTTTCGTATTTTAAGGAGTTAAGAGTTGTTTTATTTGCTTTATTATTATTATTTTTAAGTGTAGCAAGTTGTATTTTCATATTTTAAGTACAAAAAGTTTTGTTCCATTGGCAGATCATTTTACTAGTCAAGTGAAATTTACTCAAATCGTGATAAAACCTGCTTAATTTAAGTCATCTTAACTTGGATAGATTTTATTTTTTGCAGTGAGAGCATTTTGAGTTTTGCAGATGTAAACAGACTAATAATAAAGGATTACTCAAACATATGTGAATGAAACAAAACACAACCCCAGGTTTGTTTTTGAGGAGGTAACAACATTGGAACATGACTTAAAGTTCACAAGAATCCATTTCGTGTAATATAGGACCTTTGAAGACTGTGTTAATAATAGGAAAGTAAAGAATTCCAACTCCTTAGAGAATTATACACATGACTTGTTGGAGTAAGATAACTGGAATATTAAAGATGCACTAAGTAACTTTTCTGATGGAGGGTCCCTTATGCACCTGCTTGTCTCCATGGAGATGTTATGCTCCATGTTATGCTCATAATAAGAATTTTTTTGAGCAATAAAAACGCCCATAATGAAATAAAGGGTAGATGGACAGGGGTTAATCCCATATTGTGGAACATTACAAGCAACGCAATAACATCACCATGGAGACAAGCAGGTGTCAGAACCTCCACCAACATGCAGACATATACATGTAGACCCCCTGTACCTGTTGCTCCTCCTGTACCTGCAGATCCTCGTGAGCTTATAGAGCCTCCTGTACCTGTAGATCTTCCTGTAGACCCACCTGTATCTGTAGATTCTCCAGTAGACCCACTTGTGCCTTTAGATCTTCCTGTAGACCCACCTGTACATGTAGATCCTCCCGTAGACCCACTTGTACCTGTAGATCCTCCTATAGACCCACCTGTACATGTAGATCCTCCCGTAGACCCACTTGTACCTGTAGATCCTCCTATAGATCCACCTGTACCTTTAGTTCCTCCTATAGACCCACCTTTAGATCCTCCTGAACTTGTAGATTTTTCTGTACCTGTAGATCTGCCTGTGCTGAACCTGTAGATCCCCCTGTGACCTGTAGACCCCCTGTAGATCCTCCTGTACATGTAGATCCTCCTGTAGATCCTCTTGAACCTGTAGATCCTCCTCCTGAACCTGTAGACCCCCTGCAGATCCTCCTGTAGATCCCCCTAACCCTGTAGATCCCCCAGAACCTGTAGATCCTCCTGAACATGTAGACTCCGTGTACCTGTAGACCCCCTGTAGATCCCCCCTGTAACTGTAGATCCTCCTATAGATCTCCCTGAACCTGTAGATCCCCCCTGCACCTATAGACCCCCTGTATCTGTAGATCCTCTTGTAAAACCCCCTGTACTCGTAGACTCCCCCAGTACCTGTGCGGCGTTGGGGGAAGGCTGAAGCGCCCGTCCCTCTGTGGGCTCCAGGGGCGACAGGAGCAGCAGAGCAGCACACAGCAGAGCGGGACACAGCATGGCCACAATATTAGGCACAGGGACGATTTCTGATCTACGCAAACACCTGAAAGAACAAGACACGGTGAGACAGATTACAAATAAAACAATTAAAATGTCCACACAGAATAGTAAATCTTTAAAATTTGTTTGTTCTTTTACATAATAAAAGAGGAAATTTTTAATCCAAATTTGTAGTTTAAATGAAATAATTTTTAGTACCACATATCGAAATTTACTTTTTTTAAATTATTGATTATTAGCTTAATATTTGCTTTATATTATTATTGGCTTTGTAACATTTTACCATCATAAATCTTGTATTACAATGAAAATTTCTCTGACCTGGCCAAGATTTTAAAACTTAAATCAGGTTATTACTCTTGTTTTCTTGTTTTATTATCTACTTAATAGTTCTGAGATGCTTAATTCTAGTCTAGAGGTCGTTTATTTTAAGATAATTTGTCAAGTAAAATGATCTTGCTGCATGGACAGATAATTTCACTACTTTTAAGTCTTTTTCTGATAGATTTAAGTGTTTATATCTTAAATTTTGGCCAAGCTTTTTTGCAGTGCAGTATCCCTGGAGAATTTTGCCCCTTATAAAAGAAACCAATTAGTATTATTTTATCAAAGTAGTTGTAATATTCAATAAAAAATGGCAACATCTAGTTTAAAATTCTCTCACTGACAGTATTCTAAATGTTGCAAAGTTAGATCCGCTTACAAGTAAAAAATAACTGATGCCAAATGTGAAAAAGTGTCAAATAAAAGTCCTCACCGTGTCCGTGGAAGCTGTTGTTGTTGTTCCTCTCGTCTCGTCGTTCCTACAGACTCTGGTCCATGTGGCTCGGCTCTGGAGATGTTCACTGTGGGCACCTGCCGAGCATCACTATCTCACAGGCTCCGCCCACTCCTCGCCTCCCTGTCACAGAACCGAGGTGACATCTCTCTCTCCCTCTTTTCGCTCTCTTCCTTCTCTCGTCTCTTTCAGACTCCTCCTCCGCTCTTGTTTTAGGTTAGGATATTCTCTACTCACTCTCTCCCTCTTCTTTTTGCCCCTGTTCATTATTTTTGCTCTTTTCTCTCTATGTCTATCTCTTTTTTTCCCTATATTTTTCTGTCTCTTTGTCTCTTTTGCCCCCAAGTTGAGGTATTCTGTGTTCATACTCTCTTCTTTTTGTTTCTCTCTTTTCCCCATTTCCTCCTCCTCCACTTTTTTGCAATCTTTCTCTCTATCCTGCACTCTCTCTCTCTCTCACTGTTTCACGATCCTCCTCTCTTTCTGCTTCCTCTCTCCTCACTGTCTTCCACTATTTCCTCTCTCTTTCTTTTTTTGCTCACTCTTTCCCTCTTCCCCACTTTTATTTGGTTGTAGCTTCATCTCCATCGTTCTTTATTCGCTCTCTTTTCTCTTCTCTACATCTCTATTTTTGTTCCTCCTGTCACAATTTTTTGCAGTGTCCAGATTTTTTGCCCGCTCTTACACCTCTCTCTTTCTCTCTCTCTCCCTGTCAGTCTTTTTCTCATCGCTTTCTCTTGCAGTCTCTCTCTCTCTCTCTTCTCCTCTCTGTCTCTTTCTCTCTCTCCCTCTTTTGACAAAGATAATGCAGTTTTTTTAGTCAGGACAAACTCTCCCCCTCATCTCACATCACCCACACATGTCTACCTCCCCTCTTTTTCTCCTCTCCCTCCACCTCTTCTCCCTTCCTCCTCTTCCTCCCTTCTCCTCCTCCTCCTCTTCTGCTCCCCTCCTCTTCTCCCACCCCTCTTCTGCTCTCCTCCTCTTCTTCCTCATCCTCCTCTTCTGCTCTCCACTTTTTCCTTCTCCTCTTCTGCTCTCGACCTCTTCTCCCACCTCCTCCTTTTCTTCATCTCCTCCTCTTCTGCTCCTCCTCCTCTTCTGCTCTTCTCCTCATCTTCCTCCTCCTCTTCTCCCTCCTCCACCTACTCCTCTTCTGCTCTCCTCCTCTTTCTCCTCCCCTTCTGCTCTCTCCTCTTCTCCCTCCTGCACCTACTCCTCTTCTGCTCTCCTCATCTTCTTCACTCCTCCTCTTTTCCCTATTCCTCCTCTTCTGCTCTCCTGCTCTTCCCCGTCCTCCTCCTCTTCTGCTTTCCTCGTCTTCTTCTCTCCTCCTCTTTTCCCTATTCCTCCTCTTCTGCTCTCCTCCTCATCTTCCTCATCCTCTTCTCCCTGCTCCACCTCCTTCTCTTCTCCCTCCTCCTCTTCTGCTCTCGTCCTCTTCTCCTCCTCCTTTTCTGCTCTCCTCCTCTTCTGCACCTTCTCCTCTTCTGCTCTGCTCTTCTTCTCCCTCTTCCTCTTCTGCTCTCCTCTTCCTCCTCCTCCTCTTCTGCTCTCCTCCTCCTCTCCTCCCTCCTCTTCCTCTTCTGCTCTCCTTCTCTTCTGCTCTCCTCCTCTTCTCCCTCTTCCTCTTCCACTCTCCTGTTCTTCTCCCTCTTCCTCTTCTGCTCTCCTCTTCTTTTTCCTTCACCTCTTCCGCTCTCCTCCTCTTCTCCTCCCTCTTCCTCTGGTGCTCTCCCCCTCTTCTCTCCTCCCTCCTCCTCCTCCTCTTCCTCTCCGTTGGACTTTTCAGTGGGGATGATGTCAGGACTTGGACGGAGCGTGATTGTCATTGCCAAGGTGACTGTGTCGACTTCTAAAAACGCAAACACATAAAAAGAGCTGAGGAGGAAGGAGCGGCCATGTTGGAAGGGCCAGATGATGATGACACCTGCAAATATGGACAGTGGTTCCCAAACAGAGGGTACAGGGACCACCGGGGGCATGTACACACTCGGCAGGGGGTCTCTTACCATTCTTGACCAATTTATGACTTCAGGAGTTTATCCAGCTGTGATTTCAACTCTGTGTGTGTAGAGATGGAGAATATTGGATCCTCCCCGGTGATATTCAGACTATATTAAAGTAATCCATCAGAAAAAGTGCCTCCTATGTGTTATTGTTGTGATGGAGATTCAATTAAACAAAGTGCAAAAATATAACTTTGGCTGGGTAGAAGGAAAGAAACTCATAATGATCGATAACTTATGTAGTATTTTTTTTTTTTTACTTGGCTTGGTTTGACTTAAACCAGGCTTCCCACTCTTTGTCACTGACAAAATTTAAAAACGTTTCCATGACGTTTTCATGACCTAAAGTGAATTTTCCATGACTTTACAGCACATGTGTAGAATTGATCAGACTTTTAGGGCTTAACCCATTCCACTCACCTTATGGTTTGGGATTATAGATTTTTAACATTCAAAATACTGTCAGTGCATTTATTGTCGTTTCTTTTAAGCAAAAAGCGCACACGTTCGGAAATAATCATAATAGCTGATAACTTAATAGAATGTTGTAGTTACTAAAACTACTTTTCCAAAACTTTCTTTGAATTTACAAATTTCCATGACATTTTCAATTTCCATGTCTTTTCTGGGATGTCCATGACCATGAGAACCCTGTAAAAACAAATGCGGCTTTCAATTTCCTGGACATTCAATCTTTTAAAGGGCTCATATTATGATATTTTTTAATCTATGTAACAATGGTGTTTGTTTCCTTTCAAAAACACACTCTGAGTTGTGTTTTGTTTCATTCACACGTTTAACACACAAACCCTGCATATTTACGCTGTGTTTTTCTTTCAAACAGAAAACACTTTTTGATGGTGGAAAGGTGGCTGAGTGGCTTTAGTACTCCTGCCTGGGTGTTCCGGTTTCCCCCATCAACTCAAAACATGCTATATACCAGGGGTGTCAAACTCATTTTGGTCCGGGGGCCGTATCCAACCTACTTTGATCCCAAAGGAGCCAGATCAGAAAACTCATGGTATATTTACCCCAAAAATAGCAATAAGTTCAAATATTTGTGCAGAGAAACAAATCTATTACAGAAATCTTTTTTAATTGATGAACTCTTTTAGAAAATATTATAATATTATGAACAACCTGAAACTTTAAGAAAAATGCAACTGCACTCTGTGTCCACTTTTCTCATTTTTGACATTTTACTGATGAGGGTGTCACGGTCAACAGTCAAAACGATCGTCCTTTAAAAGCATTTGGAAAGGACCTACTGTTTATAGTACATACAGTAGGTCTCCAGGAAGAATAGATGATAACTAAGGTCACTTAAATACAATCAATCAATGAACCTGTCCAGACGACAGGTGGAAATGAGCACTGGTGCTACAACCTGGTACAAAGCATGTCTCCTGTTAAAGTTAATGTAAATTGTGCACTGTCCCTGTCTCATTAAATAAATAAATAGATGTCATGTGGTAATACAGGAAGTGCTCCACAGTGTTTTTAAATGCCACACACCTTCATCAGGATCGTTTGGATCATTTTAGCCCTTGATTTGCAATCTCTGCTCAACTAAAGGTAAAAAAGCTGTTAACTTGAAAAATACTGCAACATGATACAGAGCATTTGGAATATAGACAGATTAATAATAAATGATTACTTAAATATGTGAGGTGAGCATTATAACATGACAACATAACATAACAAGAATCAATATTGTGTAATAAAAGACCTTAAGTAAAAGAAGAAAGTTTGACTTTTGTGTTAAATGGCAAAGAACTCCAAACCACATACTTAGACCGACTAGACTCACAGGAGACCTCTCAATTAAAATAATTAAATTAAGCTTTTAGAAATAATTCTTTATTAAAATTTGATTGATTACTGTTCATTCCTACACACTCATATCTGAAATATTACGCTGCAAGTTTTGTTTTTATTCAGCTCTTTTAGAATTGATTTTCACTATAGACAATTTTTTATTTTTTTTTAAATAAATCAAAAGTGCAGTTACAATATCCATTTTTGCTTTCCACTATCTTTATGTATTTTATAAAAGGCACATTAATTATTGACATTGAGTTGCAAAACAGTGATATATAAAAATTCAGCAAAATTGAAAATATGCCAAATAATACTGGTATTGGGAATGGTTCAATAAAATACATTTTGAACATTGGGCATAAAGTGAAATCGTGCTCTTGTGTGTTCCA